AGAGAGAGAGAGAGAGAGAAAGAGAAAAGAAAAGAAAGAAAGAGAAAGGAAGGAAGAGAGAGAAAGAGAGAGAGAGAGAAAAGGGAGGGAAGGAAAGAAGGAAGGAAGGAAGGAAGGAAGGAAAGAAGGAAGAGGGAGGGAGAGGGAGGGGGAGCAGGCCATTGAGAATGGAGATAGTCAGCCTAGGCATCCACTGAGGCATTAGAGAAGCCCTAAGTGACCGCACTCTGAGTTGAGTTGAAAATGACTCTTGTAGGGCTTTGCAAGCCATGAAAGGAGCTTGGATTTTACTACAGTGAAAAGCCACTGGGGAGCAGCAGCGGGGAACAGTACCTTGGATTTATAATGACTGTGTGGCCTTGGGGCAGTGCCCTTCAGGCAGGGATAGTCACTTGGGAGTCTGTGTCTCCATTTCCTCATCTACAAGGGGAGCGAAGAATACGGTGATCTCAGAGAGCTGTGGGAATGGACCGAGGTAGTGCACATGAGGTAGCCTCTGTGCACATGAGGACAGTGCCCGGCACACGAGCGTGATGCACGTGGGACCACTGGTGTTTGTACCCTCACTGCCCCCTAGAGAAGGTCCTGGGCTGGACAGGACGAGTCAGGAGGCTGCTGTTGCTGCTGCAGAGCCCAGGTGTGGACATGGGGGACACAGATGGCACGAGGCAGCACTGCTGTCCCTGGTGGCCTGAAGAGGCTGTTGATCACCTGAGAGGGGTCGGTGGAAGCAGGGAAGGCTTGGCAGAGAGGGCTGGATCCTGAGGTGCTGGGCAGTGATCACACGGGACAGATACAGGCCGGGAGCTGCACCCCGAGCTGGAAATGGCATGTGCTAAAGTACATGGGAGCAGAGCATGTGGGTGTGTGGAGGGGAGCAGGTCATTCAGTGCAGGGGAGGAGCTTGTGGCATACAGGAAGGAGCCAGGGAAGGAGAGGACCCCGAGCCTGCAGTGAAGGCTGAGGACTTTGTACTAAGAGAGTAAATGGCAAGGCCTTTCTATCCAGGTGGGGATCATATGCGAAGGTTACTGCTACAGGGTGACTGTGGATGGCCAATACCTGCTGGAATACACCCACCGCCTGAAGGACCTGAGGGCCATCAATAACCTAGAAGTGGCTGGTGACATTGAGCTGACCAATGTGCACACCTAGGCGGGCTACATGGGCTGGCAATGGGCTGGGTGTGCTACTATCTGTGTCTCCTCCCCCTCCACTTCTCTGTGGGGCCCCAACTTCCTGAACCCTGACATCTCAGCAGAGGGCACCTCAGGTGTGCCATGCAGGGGAGCCACCGGGTCCACACCTCCAGGCAGAGAATGGGGGTCCTGAGCCTGCTGAGCCCCCAGTCCAGTCCCACACTACATGCGGCTCTCAACCACCTTTCCATCCTCTATGCAGCCCCTTGGAGGGCCCAAGACACAGCTATGGACTCCAGGGACGAGGTGACCTCCACAGTCCCCCATTCCTGTGACCTTTACCCTCTCCCTTGGCTCTGTACCCTGCTGCAACACCACCCCCTCTGGCCACCCTGGTGACATCCTATTGGCTTCCACCAAGTGAGCAGAACTTTCTCTGCCAGGGAGCTCTTCCCTTTTATGCCATCCGTAAAAATAAAGAAATAAAATGCTGTTGGCACACACTCATGGGATAGCTGCTTTACTAGTGTGTCTGGAGACATACTGGAGTCTCTGGAACTAAGGGTCCCTGCTGAGGAGGAGTAGGAGGGAACAGCGCTGGCTCCCTTTGGGCTGGGGGTCCTAACATCCACACCTACTACTCCCTGAGGGTCCCTCACAAACCCCACAAGGGCGTGCTGGGGAAGGTAGCTGGGGCTCAGACTTCCTGGGCAGGGGTCTCTGGTATCTTGGTAGCGGGTTGAATCTAGGAAATATGCCCACGCAGCTGAGAGGTGAGGGATCTGCTGGCATAGGGAGCCTAGCTGTGTGTCCACTCATTAGTTCTATCAAGAGCTTAGACCCTCAGGAACCAGGGTGGGGCTCGGAGTGTGGTCCTCAGGCAGCCCCATCACCAGGGAACTGATTAGCGCAGCGGGCCCCATCTGAGACTCACTAAATGGGAATCTGCATTCTAACCAGATCCCCGTGAGGTGGCCCCACTGACTGGCTGCACACCCAGAAGAGCCCCCATATCAAGCAGACAGGCATGCAAGTGCCCTTCACCCTACCTCATCCTCCTCCTACAGGAGGCCGTGCCTGCTTTTCCCAGGTGCCCAATTGCCACTGGGCAAAGGGAATATGGCAGCAGAGCAAAAACTGTGTATGACAAGGTGGAGGGCAAGGCCTTCACTAAAGAGCTGGCACTGCAAGCCCCAGCAAAACCTCCATAAGATGCATTGTGTGTGAGGCCCAGCCCCTGCCCCTCTGTCCCCCACCCCTTCCCCACCATCTTTAGAGAAGTGCAAAACTTCACTTGCTGCCCCAAGTCATTTCAAAGAAGAATCTGTGGGGTGGCTGGTACCGTCCTTGGTGGGGGATCTTTGTCCTAGTGGTGGCACACCCCATTCCATACAAATTGGGGGGGCTCTCCCTACAAAATAGCCAGGCACACACTTTCAAGGTGGTTAAAATAAAATGAATTTCACATAAATATTTCCTTCAAGAAGTCATACAAGGAAGGCTCAAGTGGCTCTTGGGAGCAGATGGATGTTTTTTAAATACAGAAGCATAAATACTGTACATGGGGCAGCTACATACAGAGTGTATTGCAAGCGCCCCCCGGTGGCCACTCAAAGTGATGCCGTCAGAAGAAGGTTTCATCTTCCTCTCGCCCACTGGTCAGGCCTGGCATGGCAGATTCATCTCCAAGGGGCCAGGAAGAGTGGGCTTCAGGCACAGAGGTGGCTCCAACCAGTCCAGGACGCTACTTGGTATTAGGTCGAGTAAAGGGCTTGAGAGGGAGGAGCTTAGGAACTAAGATGTGAGGCTGGCTGTGGTCACTTTTCCCCCTCTCCTAAGGCCCGATGACTTTGGCTCCAGAGCCGACTCTGTGCTCACACTTAGTGACAGCAGCTCGAACATCTCCATGGGTTGTCAGAGCTTGATGTCGCCAGGTGGCCGCTCTGCCCGGTCCTTCTTCACCTCGTAGGGAAAGACAGCACCAAAGATATCTTCATGATAGCGCTTCTGGCTCTGTAAGGAGAAACACAGGTCACATGTCAGCTCCGCAGGTCTGGCTGCCCCTCAGTCACCAGGTTCGGGCTGGGACAAGGCCCTGGGGCTGCCCCAGCTTCTCCGTTACATGGACTTCACGAGCCCTGTGCAGACCGACGGTCATGCTGAGATGACACCTGGATTTGGTTCCTTGACCAACCCTTGTGAGTGCAAGCTTCATGGGTGGATGGCATTCCACTTCCTCTCACCATGTGTCCACTAGATATTCCAGCAAATGTGAGCTTTTTTTAAGTGCAGTACTGGGGGTTGAACCCAGGGCCTTGCACTGAGTTACTTCCTCTGCCCTTTCTATTTTTCATTTCGAGACAGCATCTTTCTGGTTGCCCAGGCTGGCCTGGAACTTACAATCCTCCTACCAGAGCCTCCTCAGTACAGGCGTGTTCCCCCCCGCACCTGGCTTCCCCCCCAGAATGAAGTCATGATACACAGGACCATGGTAAAGACCGTGAGAAGTCTTGTAGTAAAGCAGTGTGTTTTATTTTGTTTAACTGAGAAGGTTCCAAACTATCTGACCTTTGAACATTTTTGAGGTCAAATATCTATGAACACACTGAACATATTTTGGGAAATGCCTGTGATCTCCTTGCCATTCTTCATATATGCCAGACTAACACCTACCCCGGGGCCTTTGTACTTGTGGTTCCCTACAGATCTGCCCAGAACAATATGTAAAGGACTTCCTCTTTCAGGTATTTTCTCATATGTCACCTTCCAGTGACACCTTCCCTGGCTGCCTTATTTAAAATAATACTCCTTAACTTTCCCTCAACAGCTTCTCCATTTAATTCTTCTCTGAAGACTACACATTTTACACGTTTTGTTTTATTTGTCAGTCCCACTAGAACATAAAGTCCAGCCAGACAGAAATTTCTGCCTGCTCTGTTTGCTCTATGCCCACCACACAGCAGGTACTCAATAAATACGATGAACATGTGAATGTGTCACAGGGAGAATAAGAAGTGACAAACACAGACCTTGGAACCAGAGAGGGACAGATTGCAACACTCTCATATTACTACTGTGGGCCTCCAGGGCCCCTCTCTCCTGAAAACTTGGGCGTGACAAAGGACAGAAGGAAATGCCACATGAAATCCTTGGTCAGCACCTGGCCCAGTGCAGGCCCTCGACAGAACCTGTGAATGTCAGCACCACGGAAGCGTGCGTCCTTCCTTTGAGGGGCTGAGAGACAGCAGACAGATATCTGGGTGTAAACAAGTGTCCATCCCACATGAAGCTGAGAGGGGACATATTCCTGTCCCTGGTGTTCATAGCTCTGCTCTAGCTACAGATACAGGGCGGGGTGGGGGGGAGCCGAGGAACTGCTCCCACTGGGAAAACAGAACATGGTGCCCTGACTTCTCAAAGATGGCTGACAATCAGCCTATCCAGCCACCTCAGGTTCTTATGGGGTCCAGGAGTGTCCCGGGACTCTCCTGGTGCTGCACCCCTGTCCTGGCTCTGTGGCCTGGGCCTAGCATGCACCCTCAACCAACAGACCAGCTACCATACCTTGAGCTGGAAGAAGTAGTCCTCAACCTGCTCCTCATTCAAGTTCAGCTTGGCAGCCACCAGCTGCTTCAGAGTGTAGGCCACGTCCTGGGCCATGAGCACGTTCCCACACACATAGAGGTGGCCTGGCTCCTCGTGGAGCACACGGAGCACCTCTCCAGCCAGCTGCTGCCGCAGGATGTCTTGAACATAGACCTGAACGGAGAGGAGATGGTGGGTCCAGGCTTCGGCTTCAGGAAGTGAAGCTCACAGCCAGGTCTGGTGTTGATGGGAAGGTAAGGAAGGGACACCAAGGCCTGAAGGTCCTCCCAACCAGGACCTCGGCTCAAGATGAACAGGGGCACTGCCCACTACCCAGGCCAGGGGTGCTCAGATTTTCTCTGAATTCACACACTTCAAAGAGGTATCCACCAAGCCAGTTCCCCAGAGCACTAGGGCCTGCCCATGTACACCCCAGGAAAGAGACCTTCCAGTTCTGTCTGACTGACAGAGGGGACAGTGCAGGGAAACAGGTCCCCAGGTTCCCCGGTTACACAGAAGGCCCCAGAACAATCAGGAACTCTGCTCTCGTTCTAAACAAAATGTTCAGTGACCCCGGTACTGGGTTGGAGATGCCTGCAGGGGCAAATTCACGAGGACCCAACCAAAAATCTGTCCCCAGCCCTAGGATCCTGGGGCAAAATGCCCCTGAGGACACCAGGGCCCATCTGAGGCCTTGCTGGGCCTGAGCAAAAGGCTGGCCTGGACCACCTCTCCTGGGACAGTCATGTGCCAGGTGAGGTGCTGGGGACCCCCAGCAGGCTGGGCTCTGGGGATTAACCCACAGCGCAACAGTTCTCACCCTCTGTGGGCCTTCTCTTCTCCTGGAATAGAGGACACGATGCTCTTTGTGAAGAGCACCACCTTGGAGGGTGTGTGTCATGGCCATCTCAGAGGCAAGGAGATGCACAGAGCAGTGAGGGCTCTGGAGAACCCTCCACAGCCCATGCTCATGTTCCATGCACAGTGCGGCCGCATTACCTTGGGTTTCCCAGGCAGCCTGGAGTAGGCTGTGTGCACTTCATGCAGCACCCCCTTCCGGGCCATCTGCAGCATCTCCTCCTTATAGATGTGGTCCTCGTCTGGGTGACGACACCCAAACACCAGGGTCATTCGGCCACCCTGGAGCCCTGCAAGAACCATCAGGATGCAGTTTACCAGGATGGCCACCAGAGGACAACCGTGGCTCAAGAGGGATCAACATGAATTCTCATTTCATTTCATCTGGGCAAGTGTGTACGCATCTGCTGTTCTCCCCATTTTACAGATGAGGAAACCAGAATGCTGGGGCCCAGGGCATTTATATCCCTTTTCCATAGTCACAGTACTGAAAGTAAAGATGGGATTCCATCCAGCTCATCACCAGTCAAAAGTGGGGACTTTTCCTATTACTCCCTGGGAAGAAATGCCCAGCCCACCTGAAACCCTCATCCCATCCAGGAACCCTCACACAGCCCCATAGTCTCCTTTTTTTCCCCTACTTTATTTTTATTTTTTTTTTTTTTGGCACTGAGGCATGCAAATTGGAAAGCAATGGAGACAATTATGAAGCTCCTTTGTTCACATACATGGCTCTTTTTTGTTGGTCATTTGATTTTTAAATTTTATTCTTGCCTTTTAAGACACCACACCCATACGTATTTATAGAGTGCCATGTGGTATTTCCATACGTATGTACAATGCATAAGGACCAAGCCAGGGCAATCATTATCTCCCCTCCTCACTGCAAGCTGTACCTTTGTGCTCAGAGTTGTGGAGACGCTGCTGCCAGAAACTTCGGAAGGGAGCGATGCCTGTGCCGGGCCCAATGAGGATGCAAGGATGGGAGGGGTCCTTGGGGAGCTGGAAGCTGCTGACCCTGAAGGGGACAGGAGAGAGGCCCCAGTGCTCAGATGCCCTGGGCCACACACATGCATGGGATGCAGGTAGGGGAGCTGGGTGAGGGATGGAGTGATGGTGTGGGATGGAGGAGAACAAGCAGCTCAAGGCTGATCTTTGGGTCCTGTGGGCAGTATCACCTGCCCTGCCCAGGTCCACCATTTCCCCACACTGTGGCCCTTGAAAAAGGGCACTCTGCACCCCACCACTGTGGCTGTTGCTAACCCTGCTAGAGACCAGGCCACACACTGTGGCCAGGGGATAAAATGGGGAAGCCCAGGGGGACTCAACACCTTCGTGATGGGCCAGGGGTTCCGGAAGGGCACTGAACCCCAGAACCCTTCCTGTCTCCTTGGAACCTCCAACCTAGTGGTCCCCAGGACCAGACAGGGTGCTTACCTCCGCACAAAGCAGGGCACCGGGTCCTGGGGCTTCAAGTTGCTGAGCCATGTACTGCACACGCCACGGTGCAGGGGGCCCCGGGCATCTGCAAGGACAGCACATACCTGAGCAACATGTGGCCATGCCGGCTGCTCCTCTGGCACTAATGATCCCCCGACTGCCCTGCCAGGCACTCTCGAGGCTGAATGAGGGGCTGCGTGTGCCCTGGTTCATAGGTCTACCCTTGGCATGCCCAGAGCCAGGAGGCTGAAAGGGACAGAGTCCCAGAGAGGGAAAGTGACTTGAACAGGGTCACGCAGCTGGTGGTGGAATCTGGGTCCCTGACTTACTCCAGGGCTTCTTTCAGGCCCCTGGCTCTGCTGAGTGACCTCACAAAGGTGGCCCTTGCTGGTAGGAGCCCTGGATGAGGAACGGCTCCCTCCACATTCCAGCTGCTCTGACTTCTCCCTGTCTTCCTAGCAGCCCCTCCTGGCTGGGAAGCCCGGCTTCCTCAGACGAATTCCCTCCATCACAGCCCAGCATTCACAGGAGGCCTCCTGTGACTTGAGAAGCCCTTAGGGTTTTGCTCTGCACGGACTCTGGCTCTCACAGGACAGGACATGCCTTCCTCTTGTCCCTGGTCCCAAGGCCACACTCAGGCTATGTGGGAGTTCTCTAGTGAGAGGATAGAGGGGCCAGAGGCACAGCCAGCTCCCAGCTTCGCCAACCCAGACACTGCTCAGAGGCCAGGCCAGGGCAGGGGCTCAGGTTCAAACACCTGGATAAGAGACTGAACCTCCAAGTCTGTCACCCAGCCCCTCCACACGCTCCCTCACGGTCCTTCTTGCCACCTACATGGTGATAATCACCTAGTCATTTCTATGTCTCTCTTCATTAGCCCACTAGAAGCCCCAGGAGGGCAGGGGCTGTTCCACACCCACCACAGTGCCCAGGACAGACATAAGCCATCAGAATACAAGTGGAGTGAGCAAGGGGCTCTCAGTGCAGAACACCCTGACTGCAGGACGGACATCAGAGGACTAAGTCATCGGGCTCCCCTATGTGTTGGGCGCTGTCCACATTGATCTCATTAAATTGTCCCAACCCTAGGAGGCCAGGAGCATGGCTGGAAACTTGGAATCAGCAGCTAAATCCCCTGGGTTTGTACCTCAGCTTTCCTAGCAGTGTGACTTTGAACAGGTGGCTTAACCTCTGTGTCTGCACGTCCTCCTGTGTAAAATGCTCACAGAGCCCATCTCACATGGTTGCCCTAGCGCCCGCTTTGCAGTACTCTCCCTGGCCCTCCTCCTAGTGTTCCTCACGGCTCCAGGAGGAGGAGGAGGATGTCACCACTCCCCTGTAACGGATGAGGCTCAGGGATGTGGGCCAGCTGCCCTGGGGTAAGGGGTAACGGATCTGGACGGCTCCGGAGCCTCTGTCCCGCCTCACCTTGGGTGCGGTAGGCGACCACGGCCACCGTGAGGTGCACCTCTGAGGGAGTGTGGTCCGGGGAGGAGCTGATGGAGTAGTAGCGGGGCTTCAGAATGGGGAGCTGGGAGAGCAGGAAGGCAGCGGGCACCCGCAGCGACGGGAACTCCTCCAGCACCTCCAGGAACGTGGGGCTGTTGGTGAACTTCCATTTGTTGTACTCTGAGGGCTGAAAGCCAAGGGCAGCAGCGTGAGGACTCAGGGTGCTGGCCCACATCGGGGCGTGGTGGGGGAGGCAGACACAACCCAGTGTCCACTCACTCAGCAAACAGGCCACTGCCGGGCGCTGTCCACGGTACTGAGGCTACCAAGCCAGAGAGGGAAGGGACGAATTTGGGCCAGCCAGTAGCTCTTTTCTGTGCGCCTGCTGTGGGTACCTCAGACAGGGATCAACTCGACTATAATCTAAGGTGAGGCAAGGCTTTGGAACCAGTCAGGTCTGAGCTCCAATCTTGGATGGATGCCCTTTGTGGCTGTGGAATCCTATCCTGATTACTGAACCGCTGAAGTGAGGTGAGGACAGCATCGCCTCCCTCGTGGAGTTGTTATGTTAAATGAGGAAACGAGTGTCAAGCTAGTCCAGTACAGCCACAAAATAACGGTAGTGAGATGGTTGGGGATGGAGATGATTAGTGGTAATGATGATGGTTCAAATGATGCCCAATGCTTTGTGCAAAGACATGGGCCAGAAAGCCGCAGGTGGCTTAATGCATTCTCTCATGAAATGATTAATCCAACTATCCACCTGTCACCACGTCCATGTATCCATTCATCCACACCATCTGTCTTCCAATGCTGCTCTGTCTAGCTTTGAGGAAGACAAAAACAGACAAGACATGGTGGGCCCCCCTTTCTAGCTAACCTCCAAGGACGTATACTTCGGCTGCACCCTGTTGACACTCAGGAAAATTCAGTTCACTCAACACAGCTCTGCCCTAGAGAACGGGGCAGCAGTTGGTGCCTGGTTCCCAAAGTTTTCCTTTCAGATCCACTCAGAGGTTAAAGTTGACCTCTGGGCTCCAGTTCCTTCCATTCTTCGAACTGCCCCTAGCTCACCCACCAGCCTCGACTCTCACCTGGCTCAGAGTCTCCAGTCTCTGTCTCTCAGCCTGTTCTGTGGCCAGCCGGGCCAGCTTCTGGAGCTGCAGCTGGGTTGGGGGGGTGGTGATGTCCAGGAAGTAGGTGAGGGCCTGGCTAAGTGAGCAGGGTGGCAGCCTCTTGGCCTTGACCCAGTAGCTCCCTGCACAGGGAAGGAAGGAGTCAGGATGGAATGAAGAAAAAGAAAAGCTTTGGGCTCCTTAGAGGCTGATGGGGCCTCTAGGGTAGATAGTTCCTATCTTCCCAGGGTAAGGGAGAGGAGACACTGAAGTCCTGGCTCCGAGAGATATGATCCTGACAACCTACCCATGTCCCTCTCTGGGAAGCAAGACACCGAAGATGAACTACAGACTCCTAATGACTAAGTCCACTGAAGACTTTGATACACCCCAGGGCCAGTTATTCACTTAGAGACAAGCCCATGACAAGTTCCTTGTGGGGTTGTGCCATGCCCGGAGGTGCTGAGGGAGCAGAAGATCAGCCCAAGGTGAGGTGGGAGCCTTGAGTAGTCTCAAGGGGCAATCTGCAGGACAGTCACAGCATGGACCTCAGGGCCAGCAGACCTGGGTTCAAGCTCTGGTTGCCCCCATCCTGCTGGGTGACTGAACCCTGTGGCCTTGGTTCCTTCCCTGAGGAATGGATATGATGATACAGCCTATCTTGCTAGGCATGTGTGAGCACCTAACGTATGTGAACAGTCGGTGCTGTGTCTGGCACTGGGGTGCTCAATCAGTGCTGGGTAAGGATATTATTATGTTATTTCATCTGGACCAGAAGCCCGGCAAACCACATCTGTGTCCCTACAGTCACGAGGACATCTCTCTAACTTTCCCAAGTTTCAGGCTCTCTCACTTTCTCCTGACTTGGGGGGGGGCATTGCCAAGCTTTCTTCTCTGACCCCCACTTTCCCATTTTGGCCCCTGTATTTTGGAGATACAGTCTTTGGCAGTGTCACTGTCACTGAGGCAACTACGGTCAGGGAGCTGTTCCCATGGGCTGGGATGGCGCAGTTGGATCAGGGCGGTGCAGGCCCAGCCCTTGGTAGGATGAGGTGTGGTGAGGGATGCCAGCCCTGTGGCTGCACTTCATGCCAAGGGCTCACCGCTGTCATCCAGGGCCTCAAGGCGCATGATGTTGTGGGCTCCTAGGCTGTCCACCACTCGCTCCAAGACGCCTTGGACCAGGGCCGGCTGGTTGCATGGGAAAACCCCAAGGTGCTCCCCGGGCAGGTAAGCCAGGCCTCGGCTGTCCTCACAGGAGAGTTCCACCAGGAGGGTGGTGCGGCTGAAGAAGAGAGAAGCCCTTGGTGACCATGAGGATTTCCTCCAGGGTTCCTGATGGACAAGCCAGCTTCCCCAGGAAATGTGCCCTCCTGTTATCTTTCTGGCTGGTTCCTTGAACCTAGGTCACCAGCCTGAGCTGGGAACAAGGCATGTCCTCAAGCGGGGTCACTCAGAGTCCTGCAGCTTCCCCTCAGGGAGAAGGTGGGCCACATCCCTCCTGGGTAGCCCTCTGACCCACCAAGGGCCTGGCCCTGGACTCTGCCTAAAGAAAGCATCACATTTGGAGATACATGGTCATCAGAAAAAACTTTTCCTTGTCTCCAGTGCAAATCCTGTTCTTATTAGAACAAAGGCCAATTTCCCTAACAAATGGAGAGAGCACAACACAGATAGACAAAACTTCTAGATGATCCACAGCATTTGCCTACCTGGCTGGGAAATGTCCTTTCCTGCCAAAGCTTTTCATGAAAGCTCTTAAGACTCAATTGCTCTGAGTCTCCTTGCCCTCTCCTCTCAAAGAGAATTCTCCATGGAGTAGAGCAGAGGTGAAACAGGTACCAGTTTCTGAGCGGGACAGCCGGATGGTCAAATGGGACCCAGCATGAAGGCACAGGTGGCTATGGGTCAGCAGATGAGCCAGTCCTAAGGGGGCATCACTGAGAACCTGGGGACACCTCTCTCCCTGCAAGACTGACTTGCCCTGGTCTTTTCGTTCATTAAAATAAAATCTTGGATTTTTTTTTTTTTTGGTACCGGGGATTGAACTCGGGACCTTGTACTTGTGAGGCAGGTGGTGGAACCACTGAGCTAAATCCCCGGCCCAAATCTTGGATTTGTTCAAAATAAGTCCTCGGTGATACACTTTCTCAGAGCCCTGCACTCCAGCTCACCTGGATTTTGGACTCTGAAGATTCTGCTGAGATTTGAGCCTCATGGTGAACACGTCCTTGGCATGCAGCCTACTGAGGGCTGTGGAAATAGAGATGGGGAGATGGCAAGGGAGCCCTGAGCACTGGTCGGGGAGCCCCACACGTCTGAGTCCATTATTCCTGCACACTCCCTGTGGGTGACCCACTGTAGTGGTTGTTGGCTGGGGTTTTCTTTTCCTTCCTTTTTCCCCATTTCTGAATCATAAATAAAGAATCTTGATCCAGAGATGGGTGTAGGGGTGCCTGCCTGTAATCCTAGCACTCAGAAGGCTGAGGCAAGAAGATTGAAAGTTCAAGGCCATCCCAGGCTACATAAAGACTTGAGCTGTATAACGAAACTCTATCTCCAGGAAAAAAAAAAAAAGAGCTTTGGTCTGATGGAAGATGATTATGCTGCTGCTAGGTATCAGGAAATAGATGCCAGAATAGAAAGGACCAGAATGGCTAGGGTTCGACAGGAGAGTAGACTTGAAGCTGAGCATGTCCTAAACATGCAGAAACCTGCAGGGCTTCTGTCCCTCAGGGCACAGGGCACAGCATGGGGAGTAGGTGCAGAGCTGAGTCACTGACTGCAGCCTGCAACTGCCTCCATGAAGCCTCTTCATGACACCTGGCTGCCTTTGGAAGGCTAGGCTCGGATCCCAACTTGGCCATGCGCTACAGCCCACTTTCCCTCCTTGAACTTCAATTTCCCCATCTGTCTCTCACAGATGGCAGGGCTCAGGCCAAGTGGGCAAAGACCCCAGCACAGTGCCTGGCACAATCAGCCCTCTGCTGGCACTGGCTCCCTCCTCCTCCACTGGCCTCCCTCAGAGCCAGAGTCTTGTTTCCAACAGGCCCTGGGATGCATCAAGACAGAGAGGTGCCTGCAGCCCCAGCCAACCGCCTCTGTTCACAGGGCCCTGATGCTCCCCTTGACCATGGGCTAGCAGCTCAGAGACACAAACCCAGGCAGGTAGGAAGGGCAAACAGAGAAGTGGATACCTTTGTTGAGGTCCAAAGGCTGCAAGTCCTGCACCAGCCTGTAGTGGTGTGGCTCCCAGGTCACGGTGGATGTGTAGAGCTTGGGGATCTGGATGTGGTGTTTGCCTCGAACATCAAATGCCTCACAGGCTGCCTGGAGGATGTAGGGGCTGGTGTTCAGGGCCTCTTTGTCATCACCACTAAGGTCACCAACTTTAGGCCCTCACCCTGCACAATCATGGGGCTGGGTGCTTCATGGAATATCCAAGCACTCAGTGATGGGGCTGGTGCCCAGGCTTGGCACACGGTACCTACTGCTATTATGAATACAAATACTGACATCATCTTATTTTATCTTCTTCTCCACATGGCAAGGGAGGTGTGACTGCTCTCCTTTCCTGACAGAGAATCAGACAGAGGAGGCCTCAGCTTTGGAACCATGTCCACCAGACTCAAGCTACTGCTCCTGTCCCTGAGCAAAATGCTTTGCTTCTGTCCTAAATTCCTTAGCAAGGTCGAGACCCAGGCAACAAACTGATCCAAAGAGCTCAACTGTATGGCTCCTGTCACCAGCTTTCCACTGCTGCAAGGCCAATGAGACATGGCTGCAAGAGGTGACCAAGATATCAGTGGGAAAAGATCTTGAGCCACAAGCTCCCCCAGGGCATGAGGCTTCTCTGCTACCTTCTCCCAATGAAGAGATCACGTGTATTGGGGAGAGCAGTTTTGATCTGAGCCCTCAGGCCTATAGCCCTGGCCCGCACCTGGGACAGTACCCACAGACCTGGGTAGAGGTCACACCGCCTGGCCAGCTGGCACAGACATCCTGGGTATGACTGCACCTCATCACCTGTGCTGTGGGCCGCTCTGGCTGGAAACTGACCTTGAAGGTTTGCACAGCCCAGGTGCGGAAGGCATCCTCCTGCCCGCTGAGCTCATCCCCTTCCCCCACTGGGGTGAGCTGAGAGGCCCCCAGCTGGGACAACTTCAGGTCGATGTCATGAGCGAAGGCACAGAAGCGAGGATACATGCTGGAGCCAAGGCCGAACACAGCATACCTGTGGAGGAGGACACACGCATGGAGACTCGTGTCACAAGCAAGCAGCACCAACAGCCTGCAAAGCCAGCCTCACATCATCCCACACCTGCTGGGCCACACCCAGTGCTCTTGGCCCCCAGACCCTGCCACCAACTCCCATGACTAATGTGCCTACAAGAGGGCTCCTGTAGCTCAATTCTCAATACTCTCAGAGGACAAGCCTCTGCCCAGGGTCCTCTTCTGTGCCTGGACATCAAGAAGAGTCCTGCACACCAGATTCCACCCCACAAGCCCAGACTCAGCGGGAGTGTGTGTGGAGGGGAGTGGGGGGCTACCTGAAGGTGTTGGTGAGCTTTTTCAGGATGAAGAGGGATTTCTTCAGTGTCTGAAAAGAGAGGGAGTCACAGAGTTCTAAGGCCAGGATTTATAAATGCACTGTTTTCTCCTTCTTCCTGGTGGCGCATTTAAACACTGGCCACACCTAGCACGAGCAGGCTCAGGTCTTCAGCGGAGGCTGGTTTACGTGTGGTGCCACCTGCCAGAGCTCAGCTGATGCGTTCAGCTGGTCTCTCAAGCCAACTGAACCGAGGAACTCATGGGGCTCTGCTCCTCAGGGGGCCCTTACCAGCCTGGCCTCCCACCCATCCAGCCCTGGTACAGCCAGTCCTGTCTTATAGCAAAGCACCCCCAGAGCATCTCCTGTTTAGAACCTGTTAAGAGCAATAAGAATTGGTCTTATATTGTCTAGAATAACCCTAATTTTCTAAGAACCCAGATAGCTTTAGGTGGTACACGATCGAGCAGAGATAGCACCAAATCATACTGTGGGAAACTACTCTCCTTTTGGTAACTCGTTTTTTAGTTATTTCCCTTTTGATTACATTATCATCCTTCTGAGCACTAGAGAGGCAGTCTCAAGTTGGTGCTAATAGAGCCTTAGCAGTTCTCTCCTTTTTAAAAAGCCAGATAGAGCAGGCCTGGGTGAGGCAGATAAATCCAATGGCTAAAATCCAATAGCTTCATTTGGAGTTCACTAAATTTACTTTCTTGCTGGCTTTCCCTGTATGAGAATGATACAAGTGGTCTTGAAAATTTTTTTTCTTATTTACAAAAGGCAGATCAATTCACAGAAATAGATTATGTCATAGAAAAGGTGACACATGTTAGAGCCAGAGTGACCTGTGAACACTGTCCCAAATGCCCTCTTGAGGTCACACTGAATCCCTGCGACCATCTCCTGTGTCCTCCCAGGCCCCACCACCCTGCAGCCAATCCTCAGCACTCGCCTCTCCATTGCCAGGGCAGTCTCCGTTCCCAAACGTGCTGGTCACCACCAGCAGCAGCTGCTCCTCCTCCAACGTGCTCAGCCTGTACTCATCCATGCAGAGAACCTGGGGTGACACCGAGGTGGCCATCAGCCCTCAGCTCCACCCGGGGCCTCCACACCTGCCCTAGACACCCACCCAGCTGTCCGGGTACCTTGGGATTGAAGGCACAGCTGAACAAGGCCCCCAGGTCCTGGGCCAGCGCTTCTGACTTTCCCGTCTCCGTGGCAAAGAGGATTGTGGCTCTGACTCGGGATGCCATTGTCTTGTGCATCAGCACAGAGGCAAAGAGCACAGCTCTGTGGGGACAGAGAGAGATCCTGTGTGCTGTCAACTTTCAGAGAGGCTCGACAGGGTCAGAGTGGAAGGGGAAACCTCTGGAGTGGGCGGGGTGAGGAGAAAGCAACCTACGCTTCTCCACAGCTGTCCACCCTGAGTGGTGGCCCTCGCCCTCCCTCACCCTCTACTCAGCCCCTTTGAAAAAGGGAAGAGAGGAAAGGGAGGGATAATAGCTGCAGGTGGCCTAGGAACTAGAGTCTGGAGCTCTGGGAGCCAAAGTTCACAGAGGAGATTTTTGTCTCTGGGCTCTCTGCCCACAAGGCCTCCGGGTTGGGGCTGAGGAGAAGGAAGGGTCACAGCGCAGACAGCAGTGGCGGCCACTCCACTTACCTCGCCAAGACTCTGAACGGGATCTCTCGTCTCCTGGGTCTCCGCTTCTCGTCCTGCCACACGTGGGTCTTCCAGGCGTCCACCTGCAGCGCAGAAGGGAGATGTGATGCACCACCCCACCTCGCTGGAGCCCCACAAGAGAGGGCGCAGAGCTGCATCTCACTGCCTGGCCCAGCTGGGCACTTGCTCCTGCTCGTAGTCGCCCTCCTGGAAGTGAGAGGCCCACTTCTCTCTCGCTTTTAGTCCCTTATCACTAGGCAGACCGCATAACATACAGTCTGCACTGGGACACTTCTGAGAGGGCGAGGAGAACTGCCACAACAGGCATAAGCTGTCGTGGGCACAGCAAGGTCTGTTGTCACCTGACCCCCTGCCTGCAGAGGCAGGAAGCCCTTCCCAGATCTAACACAAGTCCTCTCTGATAAAATGTGAACTGTAGCAACAGCTCATGTGGCAGGGGTGCACATGTTTCCACCATGGAGTTCATGGCCATCATTTTTAGAGATGAGAAAACCAGGGCTCAGAAAGGTGACATCACCCATGATGGTACAGCCAGTAAACTGTAGAACCAGCAGCTGCAGGCACACCATTATTCTATGGGACAGTTTGCCGGATCCTCCCAGGAAGTGGTGTATGGTCAGACACCCTTGGGGGCTCACGCCCATTAGACAACAGGCCGCAAAAGCCACACTGAGAGGCGTTTCCTTCAGTCCCTCTCTGTGGAAAGGGACAGGGGATGTTCGGCCTCCTTGACGGGGGCTTGAAAGGCATGAACAATATGCCCTTGTATCCCCGAATTCCTCCTGTCTGCCCATGTAGGGGGCACATGCAGTCTCCACAGCTGAGCTCTAGGAGGAAGAGGGCGGAAAGCGCCTCCCTTACCTGATAGTAGTAGAATGGGGACAGGATGTAGTTCAGCATCTCCTGGTGAAACACGGGGGTGATGCTCCCCGACATTGGAGGGACCAGCCAAATCCAGTCAGCTGGGCAGCCCCCACGGGTCCGGTACTCGTTCTGCATGTGTTTCATGAAGGACTCTGCTGCAGAGTGGTGGTCCATGATGGTCACATTCTGCTTCTAAATGAGACGAAGGCAAGAGAGGAGTCGACGTGGGGTGGGAGAAGAGGAGTGGGGCCAGCTGGCTGCAGAAATGCTCCTGAGGGAGCGAGGGAAGGCTGGTCATCTGAAACGGGTCAGTGACGCCGCCTGGCCCCTTCTCACCTGCTGAGATCATGTGCCCAAAGGGAGGCACTTCCAGGGCCCAAGACATCATCACAGCCACAATGAGCCTGGATCCCATGATGCCCTCTGCTTGGCTCTCTGGGGCAGCATCCGGCTTCTTATGCCCACCAGTCTCCCCACACTCCTAGCAAACAGCTCTACCTGGATGCGAATAACTCAAACTGCAGTACTTTTTGCAGCTAAGGCCACCCTAGCCATGTGTTGGTGGGGACTTCCAGGCATCAGTTCCCTGAGATTGTGCTTTCTCAGCAAAGAAGGAACTAGACAGCACTGTGGAGGGGGTTGAAGCACTGAGATCATTCTAATGTAGGGAAAATAGGTCATCCACATCCTAAAATTAGAGGCCATGGGGTCTGGGCCAACCCAGAATGATATAAGAAAAATAGCCACGACCCCCAGTGTCTGGGGCAACCCATTCAATCAGAGACACTTGTAACACAGTAGTCCAAACTCTGACCTCTTGCTGGCCATGTGACCTCGAGCTATTAGTTCCTTAACCTTGCTGAGCTTCATTTTCCTCATCTGTAAAACTGGGATGTGAACTGTTGCTATATCATGACATTACTGAAAGGATACAGGAGGTTAGTGGAAGCAAAGCATCGTAAGTGCTCAATAAACATTAGCTGGTATTATTATTTCATCTGTCAGGCATTGCACAATGCCCTGGTATGACAAGGGGAAAGACGGCCCCTTCTCTGCATCAGACTATTGTTTACTAGGGGAAGCAGAAAGGGTCAGCCCTTGTCACGAGGCCTGGTGGGAGCTATGATGGAGACAGGCAGGTGCAGTTCAAGAAGGGTAGAGAGGAGGACCTAATGGCAGACAGAGGCCCAGAGAAGAGGTACAGGGGCTCAGGGACAGCTTCCAAGGGAGGGAAAATCTTGAGAGAGAGGTGCAAGTTCGCAAGGAGTAGGAGCTGTATGAGTCAAGGCTGGAAGGGACCAGAACAGTCAGTTGATGCTGGGCCCTGTAAGTCCAGCCACATCTTTGAAAAATTTATAAACTTACTTCTCAACTTACTACATAGCCCAGGCTGGCTTCAAACTCAAGAACCTTCTGCCTCAGCCTCCCAAGTACTGAACTGTCCTTGAATTCTTATAGGAGGTACTGTTATTATCCCCATTTTACAAATGAGAAAATAAGGCCAGGTCCTTTGAAGGTTATTTTGCAGGAGGTGACGAGGAAGTCCTGAGCCTCTCAAGCCATGGAAGGACTTTGTCAGCAGCAGTCAGGAGACGGCTGAGACTGAATTCTCTGAGACACATCCCCATCCTGCCAGTGTGAGGGCTGGTGCTGAGTCCTTGGGAGTCAGGATGTGTGGTCCCTGCCAGCCCTTTCTGAGCTGGGCCAGCCCCAGGGGCTCCTCCTGTTCCATCTTAGCTCTGAACCCCTACTCCATCAGTACTGGGCTAGATCTGCCCATGGTGTGATCCAGCCATGGGGAACAACGATGATCCTTTATACAGTACTGTGCTTACCACTCAGGGCCCCATCTAGTGCCTGGCACATGACAAATGCTCAAATGAACTTTGCTGAGTGGATGAATGACTCTCTGCACAGTGTTCCAGTCTCTAGGGGATTAGTCAACTTTGCGGAGATGGTCCGATCTCTTAAAGTAGTATCTTCACACATCCTGAGCCTTCCTCCCGAAGGCCATGGAAGTATAGGAATAGTGTAAACAGGAAAAGCAGATGGAGGAAAGGCTCAAACCCATCAAGAACCAGCCTGCTGTGTGTAGGCACAAGAAATGGGCGCTGTAACCACTTCTCATGCAGGCTTGCACTCATTCATACATCCAGCATTTATACATTGTAGCATCTGGCTATGCCAGATACTACTAGGCCAAAGGTGCAGCCACAAATGTGAAAGACAAGATCGCTGCCTCAGGGAGCCCTGTGGGGCTTATATTCCAGTGGGGGAAACAAAACAACAAAGACAGACAGAAGTAGATATACTATATAATGCCAGAAACTGTATTGTGAAGTATTTTGAAGAAAAAGCAGAATTAAAAAACTAACAGAGACAGGATGGTGATGGGGCGAGGGTATTCTTTTACATGACATGGTCAGGGAGAGCCTCTTTAAGGAGGATACAATTGAGACCTGCAGGAAGGAAAGGAGCTGGTCATGGGATGATTTGTGGAAAGAAGACTCTAGGTAGAGGGCAAAATAAGCACAAAGGCCCTATGGTGCGAATCCTTTTGGTGAGGTTGAAAACCTGACAGGAATTTCAGCATGACCAAGCAGTGGAAGATAAAAGCCAGACTGGAACTACCAAAGGATGATGAAATGTCATGAGACTGTGCAAAAAGTTTTGCTGTAAAGAGCAGCAGATAAACCAAGCTCGTGCCTGGAGGAAGCCCCAGGATCGGGAAGAGTTGTTTGGCTAGCTGTTCATTTATTTCCTTTAGATAGGAGCTGGTGCAGCCTCTCTGCACACAGATTGGAATGACCCCGCGAGAGGGAGACAGTGGTGATCCAGAGAGGAGAGGGAATTTTGTTCAAGAGTAGAGCCCTGGAGCAACAGAGAGGACAGGAGTCAGAGCTCAAGTGCAGAGACTGACAAGTCTTGGGAGGTGAGGACTTGCCTGCTGCTGGATGGCTAGAGCAGGCCAGCAGGCTTCTTTAGCCCTGCATCCCAACACTGAGTAGCTTCCAGGTACACACTGGCTGTTCCACACTTGTCTGACGCATGCATGAATGAGCAATGCTGTGAGGGGTACACCAACCACCAGACAAGTAGCAAGGCCCTTCTCACCAAAACATCTTCAGCCCCACGAAACCTCTGGCATACCTGGAAGCTATGGAGCACAGCAACGTTGATCTCCGTGACAGCGCGGTCTTTCCAGAGGGAGGCCAGTGTGTGTGTCTCCAGGCCCATCCTCCTGCCCACCTCCTGCAGAGGCAGAGCAATGGGGTGAGGCTTCCCCAGGAACTACCCATGGCACTGCCCCCAGCAGGCCCAGCTAGGCAGCCTTCTCACCTCCAGGATGTTGTAGCGCTGAGCATCACAGAAGTCCCGGACGCCAATCTCTGTGCCCATGTACCAGCCATTGAAGGGGCACCCTGGGAACTCGAGGCCACCCACCTCGAGCAGCATGTTGGCCACTGCGGGCAGGGCATACCACTTCAGCCCCAGCTCCTGGAACCACTCGTACCTGGTGGGAGGGAGGGCCAGCTGTAGGTGGGGCCTTCTCCTCCACCCCCACTTGCACCAAAACAAAAATAAAACCTTCAGAAAGAGTCCACCAAGAAAATTCCTTTCCAAGAGCTGATCTCTAAGCCATCTCCCCAGGACAGAATGAGGCCCAGTTGTCACTCATTAAATGGAGCTTTCATTCACCCATGCAAACACGTATTAAGCATCAAGCATGTGCCAGGCTCCGTGTTAAATGCTGAAAATCCAACATAACATAGCAGTTAGGGACAGAAAGCTAGGATTCAAGCTCTGCCTCACTATTGAGCAGCAGCGTGACCTTGTGAGCTTTTGGCTTCTCTGAGCCTCAGTATCCCTAACATGAAGCAGTAACATCAAACTCTTGGGATTACTCTGAAGATAATAACATTATTCACTTGCACATTCAATCACTCCACAAATGTTTATCACCGAGGGCCTACTACGTGTGAAGTACCCTGCAAGGTGCTGGGACATACTGGTGAACAAGAAAGGCAAGATCCCTATTCTCGAGGAGCTTACAGTCTAGCATCTAGACTCTAGATGGTAAAGAGGTAAACAAATCAGTAAGAAAATAAAAATAAGAATCAATAGCCTGAGGGTAAGGATGCCTACTCTATTTATATGAGGTGCTCAGGAGAGTGTTGTTAGAGGTGACACTGCAGGAAGTAACTTTTGACGAGAAGAAATGAGCCTTGCAGAATTCTGAGGAAAGTGTATGTCATGTAGAAACAAGTACAAAGTCCCTGAGGCAGGACTGAGTTCAATATATTCAAGGGACAGGAAGAAGAGCCCAGCTCAATGCCTGCCAGACTTAAGTCTCAGTATCTGGAGGTATTTTTGCAGTTATGAGAAGCACCAAAAGCAGGGGCTGAGGGAACTGAGCTCTTAAAGTCACTGTAGACCTATATTTCCTCCACAGTCAGGCGAGGGAGCGCTAGGAGAGTTGTCTGGAGGGCAAAAGAGGCCTGGGTGGCTGAGACTGAAAAATCTCAAATGGGTTCCTTCCTGAAATCACTGTTTCTCAAGCCACTAAAGCCCCGTGCATTTAAGGCTCTGACCATCAACAAGCTGTATCCTCACAAGTCCGAAGCCAGAGGGGTGACAAAGTGGGCCTTGAAAGCCAGCCCTCTGGGGTCACCTGCTGCTGGCTACGCTTTGGGAGAGCTGCAGGGAAGGGCCTGAAGGCTGGGGTCACTGGGGCACAGAGCGGGGACACATGCTGATTTGCACTCCTGCACCCTCAGAGGCTTACTTGGGATGTTCCATGGGCACCTCAAGCACAAGATCCCGTGGGATTTCAAAGAGTTCTGGGTCACGGCCGTCAGCCTGCAGGACCAGAGGCAGCACATCGAAGCGGCCGTAGTGGGGCTTCCAGCCCAGGTCAATGCACAGCTGAGAGACGAGACCAACCCAGTGAGCGTGCAGGCCCAGGCCCTTGGTCTCCTTGGGACTCCACTCTGTCACCCACCCCTGGACTCCTTGCCTGAAGGTCCCAGGGTACCTGAGTGAACTCCAGGTTGGCAGGGTCCCCTCTGATGGTGCCATCTGGCATCTGGTAGCCAGCATACCGGATGAGCTGAGCATTCCAGATGCGGAAGTCACGCTTCCCATCAGTCCGCTGGGGGAACACGGTGATGGCCGACCTTCCCCAGGACATGGACAGTGCTGGTTACCATCTGGCCTTAGTAGGGACTCCGAGCCATGCCCTGCTGCTAGTACCTCCCACTCCACTCCCCACTCTGCAGCCCCCTGTACCCAAGCCGACACTTGCTCCTGCCAGCTCCTGCGCTTCCTCCATGACCTGCACAGTAGTGCCCTCTCTGGGAGCCCCCATCCTGCAACCCTTTTCCTTGCCACCGCATATTCTCTGCCTGCAGCTGAGTTAGTTGGATGCTTGTTCAGTGCTGGTCATGGGTTCACAGCAGGCTGGAGCCACGTCTTAGGGTCTTGGTCACCTCTCTATCCCGCTCCCTTCCCTTCTTTCCCCACCCGCCAGCCTAATCCTGGTTGAGTCCCCATCAGGTGGGCGGTAAGTATTTGCTGAACACGAAAATAAGTGAATGACACTTTCTGTTCAATCCTATGGGGGTGGAGGGGGACACAGTGACAAGCAGCAAGTCTCCTGTCTCTGAGAAAACACCACACCAGAGCCATCTGCTAGAAAACTAATGTCTCACCCCTCTAAAACGTGGGGAGCCCTAACTGAGCAGTGAAGAAGTTACTTCTTAAACATGTAACTTTTGCAAGGGTCCAAGACAGAAGGAAACCACAGAAATAAGCTACTGACGGGCTCAGCTCATGGAGGCGGGCTCTCTATAGAGGTCCCTGAAAAACGGTGTATCTTTCTCCTTTCTCTCTCTTCCTGGTTTCTCCTCGAGCTGGGGATGCTTCCCCTATACCCACCTGTATCTGTTGTCTAGAACTCTGAAGGAGGGAGAAGTGCACCCACCTGATGTTGCCATTGTTGGTAGCATAGCGCAGGTGTCTGCAGATGTGTTCAAACATCTCCTGGGCTGTGGTACAGCTGCGGGCATCGAAGACCTGCACACACCCACCAGACCACGCTGTCAAAGACTATGGGGCACAGGCTTCATGGTTGACTGGAAGCCTCTGGGGACAGTAGCAGCCTGCACACCAATACCCTGACCAATGTGGAGGGGCACAGTCTCCTCTCAGCATAGACAATCCCATCTCACAGCTGCCCCATCCAGCCTTTCTCCTGCTCTGCTACAGGAGCACAGGTAAACCTGCTCAGAAGACTCCAGTAAAGCCCAAATCCCAAGAAAACCTGACTTTAAGTTGCCAGGAGTCAGGATTCCAACAGCCCCTGCCTGGTTCTTTTGCAACATGAGCATGTGTTACACAGCCAGACTTGGCTTCCCTGGCTTTTCTTGTTGCTTTCTCTGTCCACATGCTTTCAGTATGATCCAACAACAAATAATCCCCCAACAAAATGATGGCCTAGGATACTGGGATAAATCGAATGTTTTCTTGCATCCAAGAATTCAAATATTCAAGGCAAATGACCTCTTTCACAGCACCAAAGCCTCAGCAATAGCAAGAAGGAGGTCATTCTTTGGTTTTATGGTGGCATTTGGTCTCCCAAGTTTAATACAAGAGAGAAGGATCAGTTAGAGAATCAGATTTGAATCAGATTCTAGATATCTAGCAGAGAAGCCCCTACACATCCATCTCAAGTTGGGAACCTGGGGCTTTGGCTTCTGTCTGTGGACCCCAGAGGGTCACCTGCTTAGGGTTTGGGGCTGCCCACCTCCCTCTTGGCTCCCTACCTGCAGGTTGGACCACTGGATCCTCCCAATGCAGCGGGGGGCGTTACGCCAGGCAAGCTTGGTGGCGAAGATGAGCTCATCTCCTGTCAGCTGGTAGGTTCCTGTTGTTTCTATCTCCTTTGTTACTGCTTCCACCCTGGCCAGATGTTCCTCTATTTTTGCCCTGGGGGACAGGAAGACATCCGGAAGATCAACAATGAGAAGATCTTACCTGGAGATTAACTCAATCCACAGAAGAAGGAAGTGAAGTCAGACACCACCAGGGCAAACTCTCTCTCACTAGAGATTGTCCCCTCCAGGTCCAGCTACATGGACTCTCATTTAGTCTGTAGGAGTTCCGTATTTAATGCACTGCTGTCACCATCTTGAAGTTCTTAGTCATGCTAAGGAATGAGGAGTCCACATTTTCATTTTTACCCTGGATCCTGAAAATTATGTAGCCTGTGATGAGCTGGACTGAACCCTTGTTATTTCTAAGTGCTTTTTTCTTTAACTATTTATCATAGCAAGGGTTGTGACCCTTCTCAGCTATTTGCAAGCCTCAGAGGAGCAGTGTCCAATCAGTCGTGGCAACATCATGCCTCTTTCAGTCAGGAGAGCACCTGTTAACCTTGTCACAGCTAACAGAAGTTGCGCCAGGCCCTCATGCAGCAGCTCCTGTATACTGAGACTTGTGTGAGCCATGTACTAGGCAAAGCAACTCACAGGCATGGTCTCACAAAGTCTGTGAGGAAGGGTTTAAATTTTTTCTTTTCTCTCTCTCTCTTTTTTTTTTTTTGGTACTGGGGATCAAACTCGGGACCTTGCCTTTGCGAGGCAGGTGGCAGAACCACTGAGCTAAATACCCAGCCCCAATTTTTTCTTTTTTTGAGACAAGGTCTTACTAAGTTGCCCAGTCCTCAAACTCAAGCCAATTTTCATGCCTTGGCCTCTTGAGTAGCTGGGATTACAGGTGCACCACCACCTGCTGGCTTAGAAGGTGTTTTGTGTTCATTTTATAGTCGGGAGTCTCAAATCTCTAGGGAGTTAAACACCAGGCCCAGGAACATTAGCACAGCAAAGAACAAAATCAGGACACAAACCCAGTTTGCCCTGCTGCCAAGCCCAGGTTCTTAACTGCCTGCAGAGGCCCTTCTACCTTCCATCCCAGGGGGAGTACAAGACCTGAGATGTTGTCTTCAGGAGCCCGGGCAGGTCCAGACACAAGCAGGGGAAGGGAGGGTCAGGACTCAGGCCACAGCATTCTAAGGCCTGCCCAGGCAGGAGCTGCACCCAGTGATTTCTAAACATGCTTCAAAAATATCCCAAAAGGAAGGACTTGGTCAGAAAGGCTTTGAAACACACACACACACACACACACACACACACACACACACACACACTCAGAGCAACCTTGAGCACAACTAAAAGCTTTTGAAATGGCAACAAACAAAACTATTTAAGGAAAAGATTCCTAAGGCCGCTGGTCCGTGACACAGAACAAAATAGCCTTTTGGGTGTGCAGAGTGTCTTGACAACTCTTCCTTGATTAGGGAAAGAAGCACAAAGACAAAACACTGGGTGATATTTACCCTCAAGGACATCCCTGCCATAAGGAACTGCCTGGCGAGGTCCACAAGCCCTCCCCAAACAAAGCTTTGGGCAACTTCCCCTGTTCTGCGCTCAAGCACAGAAACAGCAGTGACCATGGCTGCCACCAAAGCTTCTAACATACACGGGAGCATCAACCCATGAATATTAGTAGAACTCATCACTCACATCTGTGCCCAATTCCCTTAGAGTTTTATATTTTACCATTTCACATAGCCCTGTTTCTAAGGCACTAAAAAAAATGCTATGATGCCTGTTAGCTCTGAAAAAAAAGGAATGACCTCCATCAGCAGCAAACAGATTTGAATGTGACATTCAGCAAGTCACAGTCTCTAAATACATCGTAATTCTTCATACACAAAGGATGACCAAAGCCGCAGTGGGCCGTGCCTCTGGCTGCTGGTGTCACTGTGGGGAGGGGCTGCTAGGCATCATCCCAGGACCCTGGAGGGACTGAGAAATGGAAGTTCCTTCAGTGAGGAGCAAAGGCTTTGAACAGCCACCAAGCCAGGTTGCCCAGGTCCGGACTAGAGTAAGACCCCAGGGCCCAAGAGAGATGCCAGGGCACTGAGGTTGAAAGCAAGGACTCCGGGCGCCAGCTACCTGGGCTCAGCTCCCAGCCTGGGGCTGAGGATGTGAGCCTTCAAGTATGGTATCTTCCTCTGTGGCCCTCAGTGTCCTTGTCTGCAGAAGGGGGGTCATGACAGAACCCATCTCATGAAGTTGAGGTTTCATTAAACAAGCGACTTACCCAGAGCCCTGCATATGCTTTGTGCCAAACAGATAGAGAAAAGCACTGTGGCTCAGTGAAGTCCATCAGGGAAAATCCCTGGGCCCCGAAAGGCTCACTAGATAACAAGTGGGCCAACAGACCAAAGCCGGGAAGCCCTGCAGTCACGAAGCACTTCCGGGGAGACTCCAGTTACCCCACTCACAAAGCGGCAGCCCCCAACAGCTCTCCACCCAGCTGCACGGGAAAATTGCTGGGACCGTTGAAGAACACAGGGGTCTGGTCCTTTCCCACCTCCCAACATGCTGCTGCCCTTGTTTGTCAACTGAAGAATGACTAACTAACTGTAGAACTGAAGGACTCTCAGCAATGCACTCACAGAAGCTTCACTGCGTAGGAAGCAAAAGGAGAACCCCAGGAATGTGGAACCCCACAGGCCTCCGTGCAGAATACTGGCCTGCCCTCTCCAAGCCAGGTGGCCTTAATTCCAGCAGGCATTTGGTGACCCTGGGTGTGTGGCTGGGCTCCTGTGCTCACAGCTATAGCAGTAGGGGATTGGCAAGGTGGTCTCCAAGGAACTTTCTATCTCAAGCATTTCACAATAATGAGGTCCATGTAAATTCACAATCAAGGCTACTTTGTGCTATGACACAATTCTGAACTTGCACAATCCTCAGACCAATCTTATGAGCTAGTCTATTGTCCTCGTTTTACAGATGAAGAAATTGAGGCTCAGGATGGATTTACCAAGGATTCAGCAGTGGTTAATAGCAGAGTCAGGAATCGAACTCAGTTAAACCCCACCCCACACTTTTAACCCCAATTCTGAGCACTTCCTCCAGGGTCTACTCCCCTGGAAAACTGCCCTGCATTCACTGCAACTTTGGGAAGGAAAGGGGTCTAGGGGTATAGGATAATTGCTGGACACAGGGAGCTTGGACAGAAGAGGCAGTAACCCTCGGACGAAAGCCTTACTCTTTGAAGGAGTCATAATACTGGTTGACAAATTCTATAGCTTGAGGTAGAAGTTCATCCAGAGGGGTAGGCTTGTCCCTGGGTCCTCTGGTCAAACTTCTTGGGTTCATGATGGACCCCAGGCAAGATTTGGACTTGCAAGTAAAATTCTGGAAAGAAAGAAGCAGGTGGTGAGGATGGGAGTTTGGCCTCAGGGCCTTCCTCCCCCAGGGCACCTGGCTTCCTCCCTCCTCTCTGGCTGTGCCTCCCCGACCCTGACACACCTCCTCCTTGGGGTCCACAGGGCTTCCTCTCCACCCAGATCTCCTCTCTACTGGCCAAGTCCTGATGGGTGTGAGCCAGCCCGGCCTCTGTCTGATCCTGGTCTCCAGCCAGACTTAGACCCAGACCAAAGGCTACAGTTCAGTCCCTGTTCTTTCTTATTTAAAGAGGCCCATTTGGCTCCAGTGGTATCAGCCAAATTGAACTGAAATGAGACAGTCCAAGTTGCAAAGCCATAGAATAACACAAGAAGAAGTCCAGAAATACAGATGCCCAAATGTTTACTGGGGTGATTTCAGGTGGTGGGCAGGGGGCTTTTGTGGTCTTGAAATTTTCAATTCTTCCCCACTTTACACCCATAGTATACACTCTAAAGTCAGAATAAGGGACTTAAGGGCTGGGGGTGTAGCTCTGTGGTAGAGTGCTTCCATAGCATGACAGGGGTCCTGAATTCAATCCCCAGCTCCACAGAAAGAAAAAGAATAAGGAAATTAAAAACCAGAAAGGAGCCTTTTAAAGAACCTTTAGTCCAACCACTCATCGGTTGCTTAAAGCCTTAATCTCCCTTGAGTCCTGCCTCTTCACTTAGTTCAGTCTAGCTTTGGCCAGTTCTATTAGAAAATTCCCCCTGCTGAAATCTATGTAAGAAAAGTACTACTTTCTTTCTGTAATCATTTATCTGACTTTCTGGATTATCCATTACTCATTAGAGTGGTTAACAGGGAGTCGACACTGTTTAGTTCCTGCTATACTTTGTGAGGACACAAGTCATGGTCCACAGAACCCTTTGCCCAAGCAGATAATAGTTTGATTTGCCCAGGGAAGCCCAAAGAGCCACCATAGCTTTACCAGCTTGGGACAGCTTCTCCCCAGAGCCTGGATTTCTCACCGTTTTGGCCTTGTTGTGGAGTGTGTCTTGCAAAATCATCCCACTGCCCCAGTTTTTGATCCTCATGTGCTGGGGGCAGGTCTGTGAAGGCTCATGTGGCTTGCTCTGGGATTCTGGAGTCTTCTAAGAGGGAGAGAAACCAGATTTTCCCAAATACCCATAACCCCAGGACCTCATAGTTCTCTCCAGCCTCTGGACTCTGCCCCAGCTTGGGTGGGATGGGCATCCAGAAGTGGGCAACAGGGCAGAGGGTCAGTTCTCGACCCTCTTACCTTCCCAGCAGCCAGGCCACCTGGGCCTGGACATTCTGAGAGCTCCAGGTGCCTGGGCCTCAGGTCATGCCTCTCTCCTCACAGAGGCCCTGCCAATACTTGCTCAGAGGAATTGCAATAGGAGGGACTCAGGTTCCACATGAGAGAGCCTGTCACAGCCAATACTGTACCACCAAGGACAGAAATTAGACAGGGAGGAATATACCACTGCCTTCCTTTCCCCAAGGTAAGGATATGAAACCCATGTTCTCTCCTCTCCCACCCATTGCCTTGCCCACCTCCCTGGAACTCTTGAAGTGGAAAGCACTTTGGGAAGGTGGGACCCATTGCCTGTACCACCAGCCCAGCCAGAGGTGCCAATGTGCCTCGGGAGTCATATCTCCCAAACTACTGCAGATCTTCCTGGCTCTCACCCATGCCTCTGGGTCTGGGACCCTCCACTCACCACCCAGACCCTGGCTTCCTGTGCCCTTCAGCAGCTTCCAGTGGGTTGTACAGCCTGCATCTGCCCAGGACAAGGAGGAAGGGGGTTCCCACATTCATGGGACCCACTGACCTTAGCCATCCCCAGAAGGGGCTGGGAGGATCCATTTTGGCGCTTGCTAGGGCTGCAATATTTGGGGTCATCCTGTGTTTCTGGGCTGTGAAAGGAAACAGCTGTCATGATACAGAGTCTGAGAGTGGAGGCGGTCTTGGAATACCCTCTGCCAGCCCTTCATTGTCCACAGTGTGGGAGTGAGCTGCTCATGGCTTCCAGTCAAGGAGGGCAGATCGGTCAGATAGAATCTCCCCACCATCACCATCCTCCCACTTCCTCTTCCTTCTTCCCCATCCAAAGGCAAAGGATAGGAGGAGAGCTGAGCCAGCTACTGGCCCAAATGGTGACACCCAGAAGCCCTGGGGAAAATGTTCCTTTGCAAAAGCCAGGTGCCAATGTGGTACCGGGGCTGGTGAGCTGAGAACGGCTCCCTCAGCTCTGTCCTCCCAGCACCAAGCACTGTCCACCACATGCTTGCTTCTAGTGACTTAATCTTTTCAACTTAAAACACTTAATTTACCTTGGCTTATTGGTTCGTTCTACATTTTTATTCTGGAAAATGTGAAATATACAAGAGTTCTAAGAATTGCATAATAAACTTGCATGGGCCTTCACCTACTCAACCCCATTTACCAGCTATCAACTCGTGGCTCATCTTGTTTCAGTGATAGCCTCCTGGCCTCAGGAAAGACAGCCTCACTAACAAATGGTGCTGGGAAAACAGGCTATCTACATGCCAAAGGTCGAATCTAGACCCATATCTCTCACCATGTACTAAATTAAAATTAGGATGGATCAAAGATCTAAATGTTAAAACAGAAACAATCTGCTGGAAGATTAATAGGTGAAACTCTTGAAGACACAGATGTAGGCAAGGACTTTCTGAATAAAACTCCAATTGCACAAGAAATAATACCAAGAATCAACAAATGATCATATCAAATAAAAAAGTTTCTGCACAACAAAGGAAACAACCAACAACAAAACAACCTAAAGAATGGAAAAAAAAAATTAGTAGCTCCTAGACAGAGAACTAATATCTAGAATATATAAAGAACTGAAAAATATTAGAGCCCCCCAAATAAAAGACCCAATCAAAAAATGGGTAACTGAAATGAATGCACACTTGTTAGAAAAAGTACGAAGAGCCGATAAACATATGAAAAAATGTTCCACATCTGTGGCCATTAAAGAAACACAAATTAAAACAGCACTCAAATTAAAACAGCACTAAGATTCCATCTTACTCTAGAAAGAATGAGTATAAAGAAATCAAATAATAACAAACGCTGATGAGGCCATAGGGAAAAGGAACCCATACATTGTTGGTGGGAATGTAAACTAGTATCACCACTATGGAAATCAGTATGGAGATCCCACAAAAAACTAAAACTAGAAATTCCATTTGAATCAGCTATTCCCCTTCTCAGTAGCTTCCTGAAAGCGTGAAAGACATCATATTACGGTGCTACATGCATACTCATGTTTATAGCAGCACAATTTATAAGAGCTAAATCTTTGAAACAGCTTGTATGTCCATCACCAGGTGAATAGACAAAGAAAAGGTGGCGTTTACACACAATGAAGTACTACTCTGCCATAAAGAAGGATAAACTTGAGTTATCTGTAAGAAAATGGAAGCATCTTGAGACTAAAGTGTTGAGTGAAATAAATGAGACACACAAGCTTAAATATCACAGGGTTTCTCTTATATGAGAAACCAAAAATATAAACAAAGAGAAAATAAAAATAAGAGAAATTAGGGAGGGAGATAGGTCTTTTACAAAAGGGGAGGAGATCAAGCAATGGAGGGAAGGCTGAAGGAGGGAACAGAGGGGGATGATAAAGGATTGAGATGTGTTACGTACCTGTGCCAACTCCCCACAAGGAATGCAATCATTATGTACTGCAAATGCGTACCGATAAAAAATCAAATTTAGGGCCGGGGATTTAGCTTAGTGGTGCTGTCGCCTGCCTTGCAAGCACAAGGTCCTGAGTTCGACCCAGGTACCAAAAAAAATTAAATTAAATTTTTAAAATATATATCCTCCTGGCCTCTCCCTTTATTTGAAAGCAAAGCTAAGATAGAATATCATCTACATAATTATATACATTACATTGGAGCTTGAGATGATTTATAACTATAAATAGATAATATCCCTATACAAGAACGTACCCACAGTAGTCTCCCCTTATCTGTGGAATTGTCTTCTATGGTTGCAGTTACCCAAGGTCAACTGTGGTATGAAAATATTAAATAGAAAATTCCAGAAATAAATAATTCATAGGTTGTAAATTGCACAGTATTCTGAATAGCATGATGAGGTCCTATGCCATCTCACTCTGTTCTGCCTGGGATGTGAACCATCCCTTTGTCTACAGAATCCACACTGCCTACACTACCTGCCCATCAGTCACTTAGTAGCTATCTTTGTTATTAGATCAACTGTCAGTGTATTACGGTGTTTGTGTTCAAGTATCTTTATTTTATTTAATAATGCCCCCAAAATAAAAGAGCAGTGATTCTGGCAAGCTGAATATGCCCAAGAGGGGCTGTAAAGTACCTCCTTATAGTGAAAAGGTAAAAATTCTAGACTTACTAAGGAAAGAAAAAATTGTAGGCTCAGATTTCTAAGCTCTAGGCAAGAATGATTCTTTTATCTGTGAAATCGTGAAGAAAGAAAAAGAAGTTTGTGCTGGTTTCTCTGTCGTACCCTAAACTGCAAAAGTTACAGCCACAATACAATATAAGCATTTAGTTAAGATGGACAAGGTATTGACTGTGAGTGGAAGATATGAACAGAAAATGGATTCCAATTGATGGTAACATGTTGCAGGGGACAGGTGGCAACTATACAAAGATTTCAGCAAGGAATCCCGAGACAAATGACACCAAGCCATTGGCTGCAAGTAAGGGACAGTTACACAGATTCAGAACTATATTTGACCAAGAAATGGGAAGTGGGACATAAATAGAATTAAGATGTATTATGTACATGTCCCAGCTCCTCACCATAAATGTAGTCATTACACACTGCAAATCTGTACTAATAATTTTTTTAATTTTC